TGTCCCACAAGAGAAAGAATCAGACACCTGGAAATAAAGACATTGAATGGAGGATTATATATGGAAACCTTGTGTATGAAGACGAGCGTAAATGCATTATGGCGATGGAAATACAGAAGCATACAGGCGATTTAATGAATGGTTGTACTGGTAGAACAATAACAATCTAACATTTGGGATGATAATTATGAATATTTTAACATTTTTATCTTCAACTGTATATACGTTTAGAATTCAAACAATTAGACTGATTTAGATTTTTAACATTTTTTACTACTAACTCTTTAGACTTTTTAAATTCAAACAATTAGACTTATTCACTCACCATACTTAATTACATACAAATTATATATATATATATATATATATATATATATATATATATATATATATATATATATATATATATATATATATATATATATATATATATATATATATATATATATATATATATATATATATCTATATATATATATATATATATCGTGTAAAACTCAAGCATTAATATCTTTGTACTTGCCGACATACTTTGACAAGGTTCATTCAGTTCACCATTACCTTTGTTAATATAGATATACAAATATGTCGGGAATTTTGGCTGCTGCTAAAGCAGGAAATTTTCAGGAAATAAAACGGTTGGTTGAATCTGGTGTTGAGGTTAAGGATTGTGAAAGCAGTGACAATGTTTGCGATAGTCCTCTTCACTATGCTGCTAAAATGGGTTCACTAAGCATCGTCACATATTTAGTTGAACATCGTGCAAATGTGAATTTTAAAAATGAGTGGGATAATACTGCTCTTCACCATGCTGTTGAGTCGGATTCATTGGTAATTGTCAAATATTTAGTTGAAAATGGTGCTGATGTAAATTGTAAAAGCAAGAGTAAGGCCACTGCTCTGCATTTTGCTGTTAGAAATGGTAAACTAGCAACAGTCGAATATTTAGTCGAGAATGGTGCTAAGGTTACAACCAAAGGACGTCGTGGAGAAAAAACAGTTCTATATTGGGCGTGTAGAAAGGGGAATGAATTAATAGTTGACTACCTTCTGCACCATGGGGCGAGCAAAGACATTCATAAGACAGATCGTTCGGGGCGTTGTTGTTTGGTTAAAGCATGCTATGAAGGCTATACTGGTGTAGTTCAAACGTTTCTGAAGTTTAAAGTTGATATACGTAAGGAGGTGGAACTTCTATGTGGCAATAAAGAGATCGTCAATATTCTCAATCTGGAACTAAACAAGTCCAGTAAACATCGCGAGAAAATTGAGAAATTAAAAGCATTGAGTGATGAAAAGTTGACAAAGGTAATACATTTTCAACTAAATTTTCCCCGAGCCAACCTTGTGGGCGTAAGCCCAGGCCACAGAGTAGAGACATACCGAGACGTAACTAGATACTAGGCAAGTTACTAGATGCATGCTCACTTTAAACTTGCTGAGCACGCGCAGTTAATCATTTTTCGCCGCCCAGTCGCCTGAAAAAAAGTAGGTACATGATAACGTAATCTTTCGCTGTGTTTACGACGGTCAGTTACGTCTCTGTATGTCTCTACTTTGTGCCCAGGCCGAGGGTACCACTTCTTTCAAGACCAATCCCACATTAACTAAAATTTTGAACTCAACAAGTCTGGACAAAATTTTCATCCAAAGTTTCGTTGCGAAATGTTGTAATATGCGGATAATATAGCCTTGCGAAATTTGCAATTTTCAGTCATTTTGTTTTACAAACGGGAAATGTTTACCACTTCCGTGCGTTATACAAAATGACTGAAAATTACAAACTTTGCAGGGCTAAATTATCGCAATGAAACTTTGGAATATTACTAATTTTGTGATGCTCTTTCAAGCTGTGATGAAATTTCTGTTTAGGCTAATTGAAATCAAAATTTTGGAAAAGTGGTAATCGTTTCCCGCTCGTAATACAAAATGACTGAAAATTGCAAATTTCGCAAGGCTATATTATCCGCATTTTACAACATTTCGCAACGAAACTTTGGAATAGTACTAATTTTGCGATGCTCTTTCATGCTGTGATGGAATTTTGTCTAGACTTGTTGAGATCAAAATTTTGATTAATATGGGATTGATCCAAAAAATCAATCGGAAACCCGAAAAATCGATTGATGAGACGAGCAGCCAAACAGTTTATTTGTCTCCGCTTTATAACAAAATAATCAGGGATAATACATTGCAGAAAATCATAAACCCTAAGCGTATAAAATGAACAAGACAGCGTGTTAAGTACTATTTAAAACACGAGTAGGAGTGTTTTATCAGATATAAAACGCGAAGCGCAGCCGACCGTTTTATATATGATAAAACACGACAACGAGTGTTTTGAGTAGCTTAAAATACGAGTACAAAAGAATGCCAATTAAGGATGAACAATTATATAATCATACTAATTAGGATGAACAATTATATAAAGATTACTAATGAAGATGAGTTTTATCAGACATAAAGTCACTCCACTTGACATATTATGGCTGACATGATTTGCCACAAGCTAAGGTTTATGAATTATTAATGATATTTTAAGTGTATTTTATTAATTACCATATTTACGCGTTTAAGCGCCCACCTATATTACTACTTAAGCTAACAATAATCGACTTTTGCTTGAAAAGAAGGATCTCAGCTATGGCTCTGTCAAAATTGCGAATATTTTGCACAGAAGTTCGCAGTTTCCTGCCAAAAACTTAGTACCGCTGCATATTAACTCAGCAACTGTTTATATTTGGTGAAACTTCCGAAGGAGAGAGGGAACATCCGGAACTCCCATCCTTTTTGCAGTATAAATAGTAGCTAGCTGCTGACAGACTAGCGACAAAAACTGAGCACGGAGCGGACGACATTTGCAGTGGCGCCGCTAGCTCGATAATTGGGGGGGGGGCACATAGTCATTTATTCGTGTTCTGCATTGTTAATTTTCTTTGAAATCGATTGTTTTTAATGTCTGTGAACACGAATATATGAATGTTGCCCCCCCCCCCCCAATTATTGCGCTGGTGACGCCACTGGACGTTTGCGAAACATGAATCATATGAAGTACCTTAATTTGGTATTTCAGAGTTTTACTTTTGATTATTAGGCAGTCTATTATATAAGCTAAACTAACATATTATTTTTTTGACATTCTTAAAGAAACTATGGCATACGAGTTTTACAACATTTGTAAATAATGTTTATTTAATCTACCGCAGGTTGGATCAACATTAAAGTGTTTTTCCGCAAAGAAAGATTTTCTGCTCGGAAGAGGTTGTATGGGCACATTTGTTTATGTTGGTATCATGGAAGATGGCAGTGAAGTAGCTGTAAAAAGGATTTTGGTACCAGCATCTGAAGATTTAGCTGAAAATGAGAAAAATATCCTGAGTCGAGTCGTGTCACCATTTATAGTGAGCTATCGAACTTTTCTCGAAGACGCAACCTTCGTTTATTTAATTGTTGATCTGTGTGAAGAAACATTGAAGGAACATGTTGAATCCAAAACTATTGAATTCTTGAGAGAGTATGGTCCAAGAATGATCAAACAAATCCTAAGTGGGCTTAAATCTCTCCATGATCTTGGAATTTTGCACCGAGATCTCAAACCATTGAACGTGTTGGTTGATATTGAGGGTCGCATGAGATTGACAGACTTTGGACTAAGTCGCGTTCTAAATGAAGACTCAACCACAGTTGATACATTAGGGAAAGGAACCCTAGAATGGATGCCCGCTGAAGTAATTAAAGCAAGGAATGCGAAAGAGATAGGACGTTTTAAAAAGAAATCTGATATTCATGCTGCAGGAATGATCGCTTTCTTTATTTTAACCGAAGGTGAACATCCCTTTGGTCTTTGGCCTGATCGTATGAGAAATATTTTGGCTGGAAATCCAATTTACTTGGTCAATCTTGAAGATCCTAAGGCTAAAAAGTTTGTATCATGGTTGATCTCTCATAAGATTGATGATAGACCTTATGCCGAAGAAGCATTGAGTCATCCCTTTTTGGATCAAGTAGAAATTTATGAAGAGCTTCATAAGCCGATAATCTCATTGACTGGTCGATGAAGTTCCGATGTAAAAACGTTCAACGTTTTGCAATTTCCATATTAAAGACACAACTTATTATCCTTTTACAGTGCGTCTACTGTAAGTGGGGCCACTTAGAGAACACTAACCAATCACATTGCAGAACAGAAAGTGAAAAAATCAACAAACGGCGCATTAGCCAATCAGCATTAGGGCAAAAACAATTCGAACAAATAAACGAATGTCAAAC